CTATTGTTTGATGAGATCATCATTATAATGATAATGTACTTGTTTTTTTTTTTTTTCCTTAAGATAGTTTTGTGGTCTTAGTACTCTTATATATGGTATATGTAGCTAAACTAATAGCTATGCCACAGATAAACCCTGAGAAGGCAAGGGAAGAATTCCGTAATGTAAGTCAGAAAAATGGTGGAACAGGAGTCAAAGATTTCATGGATGGTATGGGCCTTGGGATGCTTGCGGAACAGGTAAAGCTCTATTTGGAGATATTGCAACTTTAGATTGTTTTATCATCGGTTGATCCTGTTTTATGTGGTGTAGACTATAGATGTCCTTACACCTTAAGGCCTAAGTGATAGGTTGAACACTTGTGCAGGCACACGTGTATGCTCACTGTTATGATCAAACTAGTATAGGGATTTCACATCGGAGCTACTATACCAATATGGATTGATTTATGCTTTATGATGATTCTTGCTTCTCTTTCACCATATGTATTTCTTTTTCTGGTTGAAGTTAGGAGAATTAAAACTGGGAGAATTACTAGACACGCCTCCTCCTGGTTTGGATGAAGCTATTGCAATTTCCAAGGTATGTATATTTTGGCTTGCTGACATGCACACCATCTTTTATTTCTCTTCTATTAATGTTTAATCCTCTTTCCAGGTGATACAATTTCTTGAATCCCCAGAATATAGCATGTTTACTCGTATAGTTTTTGATACTGCACCCACGGTGAGAAATATACATGCTGTTTTCGTCTTCAATGTTTCTTTATAAGGAAAATTAGCTCATTATGACGTGATATTGTTAACAGGGTCACACATTGCGGCTTTTGTCCTTGCCAGACTTTTTGGATGCATCAATTGGTAAAATATTGAAGGTAATGATGTCAACTTAGAATGAATAACTATGGATGTGTGTGTGCGCACTGTGCATGGGTGTCTATCCTGTTTTGGAATTAAATGCACCTTATGACTCGAGATTTAACTACTTGATTCTAGTTGCAACTTGCAAACACTATAATTTGATTATGTTAGTTGATGAGCTTCTTGAGAAGTATTGTTGGTTAAAAACTGTATGTGCATTTATTGTTGTTTTTCCTTTTTAAATATTTTCATAGATGTTTTAAGGTGTAAATACTAAATACCCGTTGTAACTTATGGATAAAAGCTCTGATGACTGAGGTAGAGCTCGGTGTTGATGCTCAGTATGTAGAGAATTTGTTTCTGTGAAATCATTTTTGACACCAGTATCTTGGTGTCAACATATTTTTCTGTTTTACCATTAAATGAATACAATTTAAGAGGTCCATTATCTTCTCTCAGCTTTTTTATAAGGTTTGCTGCTTCCCAGACAAGTAAGCCACATCTTTTGAACATTCTTAGAAGAAAAATCCTTGGATCACTTGATTTTTAGCGCATTTATCTGTAACTTGAAAGACAAAAAAATTCATGGCTAGTCTCATATGAATGTTAGCATTCTTACCTGTATAAAATTCAAATCCAGACACTTTTGCTACTAAGCTTGTTCTCTTGATTTGCAAATGTTTGACATTTTATGTTACCTTTACATGTCTGTTGTACAGCTTAAACAAAAGATATCGTCAGCCACCTCAGCGATCAAATCTGTTTTTGGGCAAGAGCAACCCCAATTGGGCGCGGTAAACCTGATGTCATGAGCTGCTTTTATACTCTGCGATGTATACATGTATGCTAATATATGTAAACTTCAATGCAGGCTGACAAATTAGAGAAACTAAGGGAGAGGATGGTTAAAGTCCGTGAACTTTTTCGTAACACTGAGTCAACAGAGTTTGTCATAGTAACAATACCGACGGTAAGATCTTTGGAAAGTATGTCAATATACTTTTCTTTCTGCTGTAATTTGGTGTGTCTTGAGTATACTTTGATAGATATTTCCTTACAGGATTCATATTCTACAATGTAGAATCTAATCTTTGTATAAAAGATGGATGAAAATTAGCTTCCAATTGATGTTTGCAATTTTTTCTTGTTCTCCAGGTGATGGCCGTTAGTGAGTCATCTAGATTGCATGCCTCTCTGAAGAAGGAAAGTGTTCCTGTGACTCGACTTATAGTTAATCAGATTCTTCCCCCGTCTGCCTCGGACTGCAAATTCTGTTCAATTAAAAGAAAGGTGTGTTAACGACTCCTTTTACTTTTTGGGTAGGAAATATTTTAACTTCTCATTTAGCAAAAGTGTGCTTTTTGTCACGTAAAATGGTGAAGTTCTGTCCAAACCATGCAAGAAAACTTGCGTTTCAGTCTGATGCACTTTCATCTCATGTGAGTGTGCGTATGAAAAATTTTCATTGGATTTTAATGTGTATCCACGCCTTAGTTTGATTTTGTCTGTTCCTTTCGTTTGTTATATATGTTTGGTTGAGTCTGGAAGCAGTGAATTCTAATTAGTTTATCTTCCGTAAACCTCAGGATCAAATGCGTGCTCTTGATATGATCCGGAGCGATACAGAGCTATCCGGCTTGACAGTGATCCAGGCTCCACTAGTTGATGTGGAGATCAGAGGCGTTCCTGCCCTTAGATTTCTGGGAGACATAATTTGGAAATGAACTACATTTTGGACAGAACAGGAGTATCGTTAATGATAAAAGAAATAACCATTTTTGTTTAACCATTCATTTATTCGATAGCATTCGGTATCTCCAAAAATCCGAAAAACGGGTTGATTCGTTTGAATGCTTTCGTTTGGGGACATAAGTTGCTGTTATGTTCGTCGTCTTTGTAATGGTGTGGCATCCCATTTGGCTAAAGTTTGCTTTATCAGTTGGATGCGATTTAGTGTGGTTCGAGGAACCTTCTGATATTCAGTTCTGTAATACGAGGAACTTTCACATTTTAAAATATTTAGACAAAGTAATGAAGAAAAGGATTATAAAAAGTTAGATAGGAGTGACTAGAAATGCATCTACGAGCTTTATAAAGGCATGAGAGCAGAATTTGCAAATGACTTTTTTTACAAATCCCTTGATATGTAAAACCCATGTGATGCATTTGCAACATTAATTTTTAATTCCTTATGTTTAATTTTCTTGTTATCTATTTCTCTCTTATTATGCCTAGGTATCGCTTAACGTTTGAAAATTCATCACCAAAACACACTCAAAGTGACAAAAAACGATGTCTCAATACGAAAATACGTTGTCATCCTCTATTTTCCATTACTGCCACTTTATGTGAAAAAAACAATAATTTGAGCCAAAAAACATAGAGAAAAATTGAGCCACAATTCTAGGGAGAATTTCACTTGCCAACCAGTGTCTCACCACATTCTTACTCCCAACCTATAAAACAGCACTATCATGTGTAGAAAAACTTTCACTTGGACGCAACATTTTTGTTAATGATGTTGCTGTCATTGGATCATATCAAGAAGGTCATCCATTAATTTGGTCACACGGTAGACACTCTTTGCAACATTTGAGTCGATACCATGTTCAAATTGGTACGCGCACATCCTTGGGGATGAAAGACTTAGCCATGACTTCATTTCAGAAAAGACATTATCTGCGCCATTGACACAATATCCATGTTATGAAGCTAATTAATTAAGATTTTCTTAATTAGTTTTAGTTGTTAACGAACTACACGTCATCTAACATGTCACGTAGCCTTCGGATTTCGTAGCAGCGTGTACAACAAATATAAAAAGCTTAAAGTGCAAAATAAGAATTGTAGAATGCCAATAACGATCCCTAAAAGAAAGACCACCTAATCCCCCTCCCAAGTAAATATGTATTAATTTGGACCCTTAATCTAGTAGACCAATTACAACTTCACCGAGTTTGAATTCTTGTTTTTCGTACTGCAAATAAATAGAGTGTAATATTATCCTTGTAATTATCTTTAAAAATATACCAACTAGCGATGACCAAATTTCAGATCCCTCTCTTGTTATATGAAAGAAAATAAAAACTAAGTGACCAATTATTAAACTAAAGTTAGAGGTTATGGATATGAACCTTTAATATGAGGAAATGTAGAAAGTACCCAACCAGAGACTCCAGCGGCTGAATTAAGCATTTCCTCACAAACCACAATGATCCGATTGGTCGAATTTCGATCATCTACACCAACATGCATATGTGACAAGGTCGAGGCCACACTCTGCGCAGCTAGCCTCGTCTTCTCCAATTGCTTTTTGAATACGGGCAAAGGAACTTTGATAAAGTGATTGGTTTTCTCAGCAAGTGTGTCAACGGATAGACAAGTAAAATAAAAGATGAAAAACATGAGATAGTAGGACGACAATTTCATGAACGGACTCATGGCTTTAGGGTTTACCAGAATATGTGGAGGATGAGTGAGATATAGCTAGGGTTCCACTAAATATGAAGAAGAATCTCTTATATGAGTGTGTGTGTGTGTGTGTGTGTCTATATATATATATATATATATATATATATATATATATATAAAGAGGTGGCAATATTCCTTTATAACCTTTTTTCTTATAGATTTATTTCCTGTTGAATTTGAAACGTTTCCTTTCAAAGAAATAAAAACCATAGTTATTTCCTATTGCACTTGAAACGGTTCCTTTGAAATAAAGAAGAATCATAAAGCATTTAAAATCCTTAAATGGGATTTCTTTCCCGTTGGTTTCGAGCTCTACAGAAATAAATGGGGTTTCAATACTGCATTAGGGGATTCTGTGAGAAAGGTTACTGTAATTTTAGAAGGATTGTTGTTTGGCATTACAAGATTAGCACAACAACGTGGGTTTTTAGTGTTCCATTACTCCTAGAACGTGTAGTGGAGCTGTACACGTTGTCTTTGTTTGCTTCTTGACACAACGATAATCATAAATGAATTCATATAGAGCTAATTTGACTTTTCAATATTTTAGCGGCTGATATAAACCTTATAATATAAATTTAATAAAATATCTATAGTTTGAGCAAACAAATAAAGATTACTTTAAAAAGAGGTAATAAATCTTCTATCATGTTGACTTCCAAACTGTGATCAAACTTGATCCAATCCTGGTGCGTATGGGACACCGGTGGATGGCAGCCATGAGTCACCATCAATAAACTTGGTCACGGTAAACAATTCGGCCTCGGATGCCTTGGCAATTACATGATAGCCGGGCCACTTGACCCGACCTACAGTCGAGGCACCCGTCCTTTTGTTCATGTACTCAGCATAATACAAAGTGCCAAGCCCACCAAATCCATGCCAATCCAGCCAACCCTGGGGCACTATTACATTACTCATATATGACTGCATGAATATAGTGCGTGAATATTTTCCCCATGGTCGACCTAAGTACGTGGGCGAAGAAGCAACATTACCCCCTAGATCGGTGTCCGGCTCAACGTCGCAAAATTGAAATGAGAACCCTGAAGGATCTGCAGCAAATCGACCGTGCGCAGTGAGTGTGTTTTGTGCACCTTCAAGGTTTTTCCTAGCAAGAATTTTACAGTTTTGGAAAACGGCAGTGCTGTAGCCGAAGATGAAGTCGATGGTGCCACTGATCGTGCATTCTCGGTAGAACTGGCGGCCGGCCGGCACCATCAATGTGTCTTGATATCCACTCATCTTGCACCTGTAGAAAACTGATTGGTCGCCGTAGGATGAAAGTGAAACTGCCTGATACTTATTTGGCCCCGCAGTGTTCTCAAACCCTACGTACATTGCTATGAATCCTTCAGCACGTACAGCTATATAAGGAAATTGATTGATTCACAACAAAAATCAAAGAAGTTGATTAGGATAAATAAGCACATGAAAATCTTCCATGCATAACTTTATTTATATATGAGAAATGACAACCAAACACAATTTTTTCCCCTTGTGTAATCCTGTTTAAGTATTCAATTCGATGGCAAAAAACAAATAGGAATATATGAGAAGGAGAAAAATTGTGCTTGATTATCATTTTCCGTTTATAATGTTCTGTTATGACGTAGATCGCAAAAAAAATCCTGTTTTCTTGAACTGAGAATATCCTAGTCAAAGTTTTGATGTCTTACCAAATGTGGCTGAATCAACTGTTTGCCAACCACTAGCATTGCATCTGTTGCCAGATATGGTAGTAACGTCCATGCCCTCTCCAATCAAGACCAGATTAGTCTTGGTGGGATCAATTTTCACATATTCTTTGTAAATTCCTTTCTTGATAAATATCACAAACCGCTGCTGGCTATGACTTGGTGCAGCCGCAATGGCATCCATTATTCGATTAAAATTCCCACTCCCATCCTGGGAAACTGTTACATTTGGCGTCTTGGAAAATTTTGCGTCTTCGAAGTTCGTCCCACCGGATAGTAGTAAAGGCTGATCGACATTTTGGTAATGGTGTTGCTGCACTTGGATCATGCCGATGACCTCATCGATTAGTCTGGTCACATGTTTGAGGCTCTCTGAAACCTTTGAGTCGATACCATTCTTAAAAGCTTCCATGCATGTCATTTCTCTGGTATGAGAAGTATTCAGCCACGTTCTCATATGGGAAACCACATCACCTGCGCCATATATACAACATTATGAGGCTAGCTAGGTTAATTAGTTTACACATGTGTGACATTCACACATGGCACTTATGCAAACAAATAAATCAATGACAAAAATCTAAATAATTAATATGTCTATTGTCACCCACTAGCTAGTTTTTGTTTTAGTATTATATCTTTCTCCAATGTTGAAAAATATCATCTGTTTGAATTATCCTCTCTTATGAAAAAAAAAAGTTTATGCATAGGGAGCGGTTTTCCCCATGTTCCATGTCTCCTCTCTGTGATTTCTTGACCAACCGCCTATTGTTGGGAAGAAGACTAAAGTTTAAATGTATCACCTTAGACCAAACCCATCTTTGGGCTAAATGCAGTTTTTTAGGTTTTATTCCCTCCCCCCCCTCCCCTCCCAAAACAAAAAAAAAATCCAATACAACCCATGCTAAATGTGTGGGTTAAAAGCTAAAAGTCAAACAAAAGCTAAATTCCTCCTAGGATTTAGCCCAGAAAATGGTGTGGGCACCACCAGCGGGACCCCACCCACTTGGGTATGTCTCCCATGATTTATTGAATCTAATGTCTGAAATCGAATATAATCAAATCTAATGGTAAAAAAAAAAAGATCTAACGGCCCAAATTTAAATCCAACGGCTAAAATAATTAAAAAAATTATTTAACTCAAAATTCACCCAAATTAGTGATTTTTCAATATTTATCGGAATTTAAATATTTTTAGATTAAAATGTTCATAAAATTAAATTATGATAGTGTACATAATATATATATTTTTAAATTACTTTAAAAGAAAAAAAAATAGCCTAAATTTATTCTTTAATATTCTCGGGCTAAAAAATTTAGGTCAAAAAGGTTGGAGCAAAAAAACTGTTTCTAGGCTAAACCTAAATTTTCTGGGCTAAAAATTTAGGTTTTAAGCAAGGGTTGGAGATGGTCTTATACTAAAGAAAATAAAAAAACCAAATAGAAATTAAAATAGACAAATGAAATGTGACATTATGTACACGAAACCTTTCAGATCATGAATTGTGGAAAGGGACCAATTCAATACTTCAGCAGTTTCAGCAAGCAAACCCTCACAATATGAAATGATCATATTAGTAGAATTTTTAGCATCCTCAGCAACATGCATATGTGACATGGCTGAGGCTACATTTTGCACAGCTTCCATGGTTTTCTCCAATGAATTTTTGAACACGGGCAAAGGAACATCTATCAACTGGGAATCGACATTATTAGCACCCGGGTTAATGGATAGGGAACAGAAGCAGATCGTGGAAACGATGATAAAATGGTAGGACGACTTCATGAATGGACTCATGGTAGAATGCATACCAGAAAATGCAAATGATGAGAAAATAGGGTTGATGCAAAGAAATGATATATGCACTGAAGAAGGCCCCCTTGTATGTGAACATATATATATGCAGATAAAATGTAGTTGCTAGACACCTTTATGTAAAAAATATTAAAGAGATTCATGCATTGTAGATTGTGATTTATAGTTTATAACAGGATGTGCAGTGTACCATTTTTCGTACAGATTTGTTATTGAAACTGAAACATTTACTTCCTTTCAAACCTAGCAAAAACAAATTTACTTCCTTTCAAATAAACATAATTCAAAAGCATTAATCAATTTCTTAGTTATGGTGTTTGGGAATATATTTCATAAAAAGGAGGTAGATTTCTAGGATTGGGGGAATCCGGAGGGGTTTGAGAAAAAAAAGAAGCGATAATCCTTTCTTCCGAAAATTGTAAGTTCAACTTTTTAAGGAGCTGGATATCATTCTTGAACAAGAAGCTTTGTTTTGGCAACAAAAATCAAGGAAATAAAGGCTGAGAGACGGGAGAAAAACACCAAAGATTTCCGTCTTGCAACAATTATTAGACGAAGAAGAAATAAAGCAGAAGTTCTTCATGATCATAATGATAACTGGATTACGCTCTCTCTCTCTCTCTCTCACCTCCAACGGTTATATTGTTGGTGTATGAGCTCACATGCTCAGTGAGTGTGCCCCGAAATATATGGAAGAATTTGCAGAGGTATATTCTCTGGTTTTCTGATCGAAATTTTCTTCTTCTTCTTGCTCAAGCTTTCTGAGTTTCTCTTCCATAATTATTGTTAGAATTCTTGTTTAATTTGAATTCACTAACAGATTTGGTCTTTTATTAAGCAGACTCTGACTGAACTCCAGCTCCCATTTTCTGCAATCAAGCTTATAATGCGTTGTGTAACCTCTACAAGCTTTCAAGTGTGTCTTAATGGTGAGTTGTCGGACAGTTTTAAGGCTAAGCGGTCTTAGACAAGGTGATCCTTTATCTCCCTATCTTTTTGTATTGCGCATGGAAAAGTTGAGTCGTCCTATTGCTAACGCTGTGGAGATTAATAAATGAACTTTCTAAGGCTGGAAATCGCCCTTATTCAAGCTGTTTCTTCTTCTATGCCTATTAATGCCATGCAGACTGCAAAGTTTCCTAGTCAGTCATGAACTTGATAAAATTAAATCGAGATTTTATGTGGGGAGACTCTAGCTTCGTAAAAAAGGTTCACTTAACTAAATGAGATCTTGTTTGCAAACCAAACGCCCGTGGCGGTTTGGATTAAGAAAACAAGTCAGATGAATCAACGTATGTGGGCTAAGGCGAGTTGGAGGATCTATCAGCAGGACCAACGCTGTTCAAGGATAATATTTGAAAATTTATTCTCTATTGGACCCTAATTACCAAAGTCGTAAAGGTATGTCCAGTACTTGCTCTAGTATTATATTTGGAGCTAATTTGATGAGAGAGGTCTGGTGTCGAGAATTGCTGATGGTACCAACCAAATTTTGGACAGACAATTGGTTGGGTTGGGGGCTTTTGTTGGGGAAACACCGGGTAATTTGCATGTGGATAATAATCTCTCATGGTTTGCGTGTTGGCATGCTTGGAAGTAGAGAAATTGCATTGTATTCAATCATTCCTATCAACTTCCCCTTGATCATGTGAAGACTATTCTAAAGTATGTTTGGGAGTGGACTAATGCTAATAAAGTCAGTCATCCTAAGCCATGCAGAATTATTAGAAAGTTGAATTGGGTTTCTCCAAGGAGGGATGGTTGAAATTGGATATTGATGGTTCTCGCCAAAGGCAGAACAATTTTATCGGTTCTAGAGGAGTAGTTAGAGATCCTCTGCCATAACCGTCACCACCACCATTAGCAACCAAGGAAGAGGCAAAGAACAAGCCTTGACAAGAGATTTGTAAATAATGGGTTGGAGTTTCGTACTTGAGCCAACCTGCGTTATTCTTAATTGATTGCAGAATGGGTCAAAATTGATTTTCGATCCACGAAGACACAAAGTCCACAAATGTAGTAAAGATGGGGATGAGCACCAGCAGCAATCTGAGGCAAAGAGGAAGCAAAAATTGGAAAAAAAAAAATAGGGCAAGGGATTTAGTGGGTGAAAGAAGAGAAAGAAGGAAAATATGTGGTGGGGGTCAAAGAAGAAGAAGATGGAGTGGGTGTGGCAAGGATGACCGAAATAAGTGGAGGAAGAACATAAACAAGAAAAAACCACAAACTGGGCACAGCACCCAAATGCGGGACACTCGCTCAGAACAACAGAAACAAAAGCTCGGAAAACTGAGACGAGCTCAGAAGATTGCAATTCAGAGGGTTGCTGCCGACCCCAAAAAAAGTTTTTCTCTGCATTTTAGTCTCCTATTAGCCCCTAACGCAGGCTTTTCGATTCACGGGTTTCCTACTTCTCTAGGTTTGTTGTTCCTATTTCATTAAGGGAAGAGAAAGGTTGCACAAACAGATTTCGAATATACAGCTTGAGCTTCAATTTCCAGTACAATATCATGGGAGATGTATCCATCTTACAAGAACAAAGCCTTATAGATCAAAAGTTAAACCAACCCAATGCGTCAAGGCGTAATGCTCAACACCTCCTAACATACCTTTTACCTATTTGCTTTGGCAATGTTCTACCTATCAGCCTGGGATTGTTGATCTCTCATCTCACTCATTTCTTCTGAAAAGTCACCATACAAAAGAATGCTATCGCCCGACTAACTATACCTATGGATGTTAGGATGATTATACAAAGATTCCAGTTATGAAGATTATAGCCGGCCTTTAGAAGTGAACCGCAGCGAGTTATCAGCCATACTCCAGCATACCTGTAGCAAAAAGGAAACAAAAACATACAGATCAAAGCGACAATTTTAAACAATCGACTAGAAGTTCAAGTATCTATATTTGTATACTAGTGCACAAACAAGGCTCGGAAAACATATAAAAATGTGTTCACGTAAACATTTTGGATGCTTGTAAAGTGGGGAGCTTTGTTGGCTTGGGGTTGCCCTTCCTTTTTGCAAAGTACCTTTCAGCATTTGCTGTCACAAATGCTTCCAAAGCCCACCTCGGGTAGCACAACTTAGCTAAATTCTTCATAAGTTCACTATCTTGTGGCCGTGTTGCTATAAGAGTCAAAACAACTGGAAGAAGGACCGACGACTGCAAACAATATCAGTTTGTTAGTAAAATATCAATGGAGTACCAAAAAAGAATGTGAAACTAGTTCGGCTGCAAACAATATCAGTTTGAATGAGTTACTTACTAGTTGGGCTGCACCTTGTTCGAAAAATATTGCTAATGCGTAGGCTATACCAGTTACACAATACACGAGGCAGACCAGAACAATGTAGTTATCTGCAAAGCTAGATCTTGGGTTGGTAAAGAAGTAGAACATGGACAAATACACTACAGGTTTGATCACTGTATTAAAATGGTCAATAGTATCCTTAGCCAGAAAATAAGCCAAGCTGCTCATCCCTGAAGCGCTCTCTCTCCAATAGTGTAATCTGTCTAGAGAAAACGACCTCAGAGCCGCGATTTTACATAGTAGAGCTGAAATCAAATCAAGACTCAAGGTTAGGAACAAAAAAGGTTTG